GCCTGTTTGTTTTCTGACACTCAAGAAAATTGTGCATGTGGCTGGATTTGGAGGAATAATCAAAGCAGAAGAGTTCACATACAAGCTGAGGCTTGACAAGTGGCCCAGATTTTGCAGTTTATCCAAAAGAGTAGATTGATTTTTAGTTAAACAGAAGCTTCACCAAATGATAGCGTGATCTGGTTTACATATGAAAAGCTATATTCTTTACTTAACATTCACAAGTTGCTTATGGATTAATTAGCCCATCTGCCACAACAAATGGATTCTCACTTCTTTTGCATTGCTTGCTGAAAAGTGACTACTTGTCTCCTATTACTTCCCTCTATCAATATAATGGAAAATAATTTTTTAGAAGCAAGACATTTATTTGTTCATATCTGTAAAAATGTGTATATATCTTCAATGTATCAACTAAACTGATAAAGTAAGTGCAGGAAAGAGGAAGACCTCTGGAAATGGTTTCCCATGGTTAGAATTTCCTTTAGTCACTTAACATCCAGTAGAACTGTTTCAAGTTTGGCATGATTAAGGCTCCTCTTTACACTTGCTTCCAATCCCAAATCTATTTTTCTTCTTGAGGGTAACCACATCTCTGTTTCTCCCAAAACTTCTATCATTAGCATCTTCCTTTCCTCTTTTATGCTGTTACCAATTCTGATAATCGTCTTTATCAATATTGTGCCTGGTTTCTCATTTATCTCAAATCAGGTGACTTAATCACCATTTCAGAGTCCAGTTGCTCCACTCTGGGGCTGTGAGCATCTTATCAAAGAGCGAGTACATGAGTCTTTTCAGTTTTATTCTAGCTGCTAGGTAGCTTTAGAAACAGATCAGTTTTGTCCACAGTTATCAAAAAGCCAGATGTTATAGTAATAAAAGGAATTACCTCATATACTTCTCATGTTTATTAGGACGCTCTAACCTCTCATTCATTTCATTAGCAACCACTTTAGAAAAAGGTCTCTTCATCTACACCTTGCTTGAATCTAATCATCAGTCTTCTGCATGTACACTTCAAACCCACACCCTGTAATACGTGTGTATATCTAATTTTCAAATTACCTTTCCTCCCATCAATTTTGCTCCCAACACTCTTCACCCAGTTTTTCCCCCTGCAAATCAACTTCTAGCACTTTTGCTTCCTTCCATTGATTAGGCACCTAGAACAGTTTGGATCAGCACTCTTAACTATCTATATTAACTGGAATGCCATTAATAGCTGACTTTTCCTTCTTCGATTTCATTTCACATATATTGTCCATACAAAACCAAGATTGAGGTAGAGAGAGAGGAAGAGGGAAGGAATAGTGAAGGGAGGGAGTGAAGGAGGGAAGGAAAGAATATGATGGAAAAGAAATAAAAGGATAACGATATGGCACTAGGTAATACCAAATATCTTGTTGGTTTAGGATCTAACCACATGGAAAACTCAGTTTTGCTATTAATTTATTTGCTAATTCACTTCAAAACTTTCTATAGGATTAAAATTTCAGATATTCTTTCAAAATTATTCTTCTCCCTAGCTGTAACTAATGATAACTGAGAAAAGCAACTGCCAGAAAATCCCAGTTAAACTCTTCTTTTTTCTATTGTGAAAGGCATAACTTATGGTGACCTTTTGGTAGGCTAACAGTATGTTGATGAACTTCAAGTGAAGTGAAAAAAAAAAGCGTCTTGTATCATCAGTGCTCACATTTTCTAAGGGATCACATGGGGCAGTATACTGAGCCTTTAAAGGTCATAGACTACTTTACTTTGAGAGATATTAAATAGCTTATGAAAATAGGGGTTGGCTGCATGATAACTAGAAGAAAAGAGCATTCCCAATAGGGAAGTAAGATATCTGAGATTATATTGACTGTCCTTTTTTAAGATTGTATTCAATTGTCCTTAAAGCAAAAAATTAATTTTGAATATAAATGCCATGGTTGTAAATGAATGAATATACAGGTCTTAGAATCAATAGCTATTGATCTTGCTGTATAAATGCTAATATTGTCTGTATATACTAAGTATTACGATAAGAACTAATAATTTCACAGTCTAAAATACTCTCCAGTAATTTTTTGTTTCTGCAAATTTTTTTATACTTTTCTGAACTTTGCAAAAATGGCCTTACTTCACTTATAGGAGCATAAGATAAATAATCATTATTATTAAGGAACTTTTTAAAAATTATTCTTTCTTTGAAGATCACTAAAACAAGTAAGAAACAAACGAGTCTCAAGACTAGATTGTAGGCAGGGTACTGAGCCACCTTGGGGAAGAAGTAGAATAATGGCATTTCTTCACTATTTAATGACATACAATTTATGCATTAGTAGGATTTCATGTCGGCTTCCCAGGTGGTGCTAGTGGCAAAGGACCTACTGCCAATGCAGGAGACACAAGGGATGAGGGTTCAATCCCTGGGTTAGGAAGATCCTCTGGAGGAGGGCATGGCAACCCACACCGGTATTCTTGCCTGGAGAATCCCAGGGACAGAGGAACCTGGCAGGCTATGGTCCATAGAGTCGCAAAGAGTTGGACGCGACTGAAATGACTTAGCACACACACACGCAGGATTTCATGTATGATTGGAACAAACCATGGCCATAAATTATTTTCCATTTACCTTCAGATAATGTTTAAAGTTCCTTCAAAAAAAACACTTTCATTCTGCCATTGTTAGGAGTTACTCTAGATAAAATGCTTATAGGAAAAGATAGCATTGTTGACATTGCTCCAGTAGGTTTTAAATAGCTGATAACAGATTATGACCAAGAGTTCTTTTCAGAGAGGTAAAGGTATGAAATCTTGCACAAATGAATATTCACTCAGTTGAAGGGACACCACGAAGCAGGAAATGTGTAGATAAAAGGGGAATTCTTCCATACCACATAGATTATGATGGAACAGTCTATCTACCACTGGATCATCTTCCATAATTCTGGAGTTACTAAACATTGACCATAAGAAGAGACAGAGGATGATGCTCTTCAACACAAGAAGCCAGATTTCAGTTTGTACTTTTCCACCCTGAAACTTCTCTTACCACGTGCTGACTACAGGTCTTCAGGAGTGGTGGCCCCTCCAGAATGCCTGTTATCTGAAGGTGCTAAAAGAATGAGTGCCAGCTAGTAGTTGTACTGTGTTCACATTGCCCCATATGCGCAAAGTCATCAAGCCATTCCAAAGTTATACCAGTGAACTCAGTGGTAATGTTCTAGTTCATGGAGAAAATTAATGACTCTGCACATTGGTAGGAAAACACCCAAATCTCCAACTGAAGTTTCTTACTAGGTTTTCAGAAACTGTACTGGTTCATATGGTGCTGGTGAGGAAACTTAAATTGCTCAATTTCTGAAGGCGCATTAACTCTTTCAAGGGTCAGTTGAGTAAATTAGCTTGGGCCAGGTCATTAAGCCTATCTCTACATGACATGACAATTTTCACCTGGCACTGTATCATTTACCCCAAAATGCCCCACATTTTCTCTGAGCATGCACATATTCTTTCTCTACTTAGGGGGAGAAAGTGTGCTCATTTGAATGTCAGCAGTCTCTCGCTAGCTCCAACTCAGTCATTCCTTTTGTGTCTTTTGAAGACTTCCAGGGATCTCTAAAGATTTGCTGGTGCATAGCAGTTATTAGAGCCTCACCAGCAGACGGGTGGTTTAGTTGTCTAGAAATGGTATAATTTCAGGGGTTTTGAGCACAGTACTGTACTCCTAAGTATCTCTTCCTATTTGCAAAAGCCAATGTTATTGGTTCATTTGGGGCATGAGTTTTGACTTTCTTTTATGATTCTATAGCTGTTTATGAAAACACAACTTCCACTAAGAGGCTGTGTTATTAGAACCCATGTTAGGGGAATAAATTGATGACAATTTGAGAGCAGTTTCTGTACTACCTCTCAAGAGGGTAATCAGAAAAGCCTGTGGGTGTTTTGGGTGCCACAAAGGTGAGGAAACATCATTGGCCCTTAAAAATCAGGCATGGGAGAGTGTCACTAAAAGAAAAATTTTTATCTCGCAAACACCAATGGTTGGCCCAACTGAGAAGCAGTGATGGAAGGAAAAGGCAAACATCCCCTCTTCCTCTGTTATGTCCAGGCTACATTGGAGAGTCATAAAATGGTATAGATGAAAACAGGTGAGGCGGCAAAGGGACATGGCATACTCTGTCAGAGGTGTTTTAGAGAGGTGCTCCTTTCTTGTGCATGTAAGTCAGCTGGGATCTTGTTAAAATGACAGTTCTCATTTAGCCAGGGATTCTGCATTTCTAATCTCTTATGCTGCTGGTCCACAGACTATACTGTGAATGGCAAGGACTTAGGATAACATGCACATGAGCAGTAACATGGTCTTGGATAAAAATGATGAATATAAAATAAATCTGACAGAAATTATATTTCACGTCAGTAAGACTAATTAAGGGCTTCCCTGGTGACTACTGGTAAAGAATCCGCCTGCCAATGCAACAGACGTGGGTTCGATCCCTGGGTCAGATGATCCCCTGGATAAGAAAATGGCAACCCACTCCAGTATTCTTGCTTGGGAAATCCCATGGACAGAAGAGCTTGTCAGGCTACAGTCCACGGGGTTGCAAGAGTCAGACACGGCTTAGAGACCAAACAAGCACAAGACTAATTAAATATTGAAAATTCCACCAAAAGATTGATAGATCATTTTTTTTTAAAAGACATACTTACCATTTCTACCTAGCTGAAGATTTTAATCATTTTCTGAGGCTTATGTGTTGCTTAAGGTTTGAAATCTTTACTAATAATTCTGATGGTGTGCTTTTTAAAGATATAAGAAATAACTGTTTTCCTAGTTTCCATCACTTTCTCCTGTTGGTGAATAGTTCAATAAATGTCAAAGTCTGATTAAATATTCCTTCACAAAATTCATAGCAGAACTTGTTTAAACCTCCCCTGCCCACCTTTTATTAATCTGTCGTGATAGTCTCTCTGTTCTTTCCTCTGAGATGAGCAATGCCCTTTTATCTTTGCAGGTCAATGGGAAGGATCTCTCAAAGGCTACCCATGAAGAGGCAGTGGAAGCTTTTCGAAATGCCAAGGAACCTATCGTGGTCCAGGTGCTAAGGCGAACGCCTCTCAGTAAACCAGCCTATGGGACAGCCCCAGAAGTGCGACTCATGAATGCCAGCACTCAGACAGACATCACCTTTGAACACATAATGGCCCTGGCCAAACTTAGGCCACCCACCCCTCCAGTGCCCGACATCTGTCCATTCCTGCTCTCAGACAGGTACTTTTCTGTCATTTATGCTGGAGGCTTATTTGTTGTCATTTGTCGCTGAAAGTAGATGTTGGAAAGAATCAGGCCCCGTAGCCAGTTGACAGTTACAGAGACAAGCTCTCAGTCCTGTTGGGAAAATCTCTGTGACTGTGTCTCCATACAATTAGTTCTCAGTTTTCCTGCTCCTCTCTTTCCTGACCCACATGATTGTTTCAGCTCCGAAATCCTACTTGCTGAGATGCAGTGACAAAGTCTGGCTCTGATTAGTTCATCTTCATGTTTTCAGTCATCACAAACCTCGCACAGCTCACAGTCACTGGTCAGGGAAATAGATTTTCTCACTGAAGTTGCCAAAAACCTTATTAAGACAGACCTAGACGCGGCATGTTGGCACTCTGTTCTCCTTGGTGGGTTGCCTCTCTCTCATTCTCTCTTTTGTGTTTCTCTTCTTTAAAGGAGAAGCTAGGAAATTCACTTTATTAAGGTGCAATTCTCTGCAGGAAGCAATTACCCAATATATTGGGATGTAAACCAAAGGTCCTGGCTGTCTGAGAGGAAGTATATAGAGCTACAAAATAAAGAACTATTAAATGAATATTTCTTCCTAGTTTATACCTGAGTTAAAGGCTGTTACAGATATTTTACTCAAATAATCCTACCTGTGCAGTTTGGGAAGTCTGTTTGGCCCCACACATTTTGTTCTGTGAGTTTTTAAGCAAATAGTCCAAAATGATTGACAGCCTGTTATATAGGAGCAGAAGTCTCTGGAGCCTGCGTTTTCATTGCCTGCTGCAATCCGTGTTCCATTTAGTAAAATGTAGACCTGGTCATGACACCTGCCTGCCCTTTAGGGTCTTCTATTAAGTCCATCTCAGTGATCCACATGTGTGCATTAAAGTCACTTGGGAACTTTGAAAAGCAGAATAAATGCAGTGCCTGGATCAATCCTACCTCAGCCCAAAATATAGGCATTCGAATTTTTCAGAAATCTCCCTAAGCAATTTTAATGTGCACCACGCCTTGAAACCTTATGTTTCTCGTGGGCAGGGCCTCCGTCTGTCTGACCTATGATTCTAGTCATGTATCCCTTACTTATCAAATAGCCCCTTGTGTCAGGCCATAGAACTCGGTACTGGGCAGAAAACTGGTAACAAAAACAAAGCCACTACCTCCTGGAGCTTATATTCTAGAGGGGAAATGAAAAACACACAAACCAAAGAACAAATAATATTCGTTTGTACAACCTGATGCAGAGCAGCCATCCAATAAATACTTTCTTGAATGACTAATAGTTACCATTTATTAGCTAACTTAACATGTTTTAGGTAATATTCCTCACAAAAATTTCCTGAGTGAGCACATTATATTATTACCATGCCCACATCACAGATGAGGACAAAAATGTTAAGGAATTTGGCAAGATCACACAAAAGGAAGTGATAGGGTCAGGCTTCTGATCCTAAGGCATTTGACCCCACTGGTAGGTGCTCTCATGGCTTCTCTATTTTCCCCTTAATTATCACACTGTATTAAAATCCCCACTTTGCTGCTCTACCCAATTAATAGGACAAGAATTGGATTTTGTGCCCAACCAACTTCCAGCAATTGGCATAGGGCCTGGCATCTTGTAGATACTCAGTAAACTCTTACTAAAGTATCAGTAAGGTGTCCTTCACAGCAGGCCTCCTTTTTTTAATAATTCAAAGACCAGGAAAACACATCAGCTGCTCCAAACAGCAGGTTATGATGTTTAAGCAGCGGGAATGGGCTTCTCAAAACCAGTCCAGGTTTAAGCTCTTAGACCAGCAAGGGAGATGCTGCCTGCACTGGTTTTGCTATTTGGGCCCAAATTAGAGAACAGTAAGAAGAGGCTGGTAGAGTATTTACACTGATCCTGTGAGGTACCAGGATGGATCTCTCCGGCCTTTCAGCTATTAATGGATAAGGGGACTAATTTATACTACTAAGTTCATTTGTGTCATAATGTTCAAAATGGGCTTAGAGGCCTTTCCTGAAGCCAACTTGGTTAATTTCACATAGGCTTTTTTCACTGACTTAGAAATGCTCGTAGAGAACCTCATGCCCTTTGCTGCTAAACTGTCCTTAGCTTTCACATTGGGCTTCCCAGGTGGTGCTAGTGGTAAAGAATACACCTGCCAATGCAGGAGACGCAAAAGATGTGGGCTCTGTCCCTTGGTCTGGAAGATCTCTTGGGCGAGGAAGTGACACCTCATTCCAGTATTCTTGCCTGGAAAATTCCATGGGCAGAGGAGCCTAGTGGGCTACAGTCCAAATGGTTACAAAAAGTAGGACACAACCAAGCAACTGAGCACACACACACACACACACACACACACAGCTTTCATATTGTATAATGTATACATCATGGCATATAATAATTTGAAAGCACTTCTATGAATTATTTAAAACATTTCCCCAAAGTTAGTGGATACATAAAAGTCATACACAGTGTCCTGGAACCCCTTAATTTCCTTTACTTTATTAGTTCTCTCTGTCCCCAGATGTTTTCTAAAAGGATTATGAAACTCTATGGTTTATAGGAGTTTCCAGTGAGTTATCACCGTGAACATTCTTTAATGTTTGTGTATGTGGGTTATGAGGGAGAATGAGGAAGAAAGTCTCAAGAAATGGAGGCAATGTGAGTACAATTTACAGACTGAAAAATACAATTCCCACTTCATTCCCACATCTGTGGATTCTTCATCCAAGGATTCAACCAACTTCAGATTTGATTTTTTGATCCATGTTTAATTGAATAAAAATATAGAACCCATACCTTCAGAAGACTGACTGTATGAGCTTTGAAAATAAAATTTCAGAAACAGTTTGAGCCTGTAATTATGAAATTGGTAGTACTTTGTTACAAAATACCCACCTTTGGGTAGACTGCAGTCTCAAAAGCCACACACCTATGTATGTGTCAAGTCCACTGGATGGAATGGAAGGCAGCCAGAGTATCAATATGGCACCATTGCCAGGATAGAGCGCACATCTATCTGCCCCTTCACAAAATGAAGCTCTGACAATGAGCCATTATCTTGGTATTCTCTCAGAAAATCAAATTGATGGATTTCATATAAGGGAAGAAGAAAAGCAATTGTTCTTTCTGAGCTGTAGTTCATTTAAAGGCTAGATCACTATAGGTCCTATTAGCGAGCAGAGAAAACTAAAGTGAAATTCTAATGTCATTTTTTAATCTTGAGAACAACCCTTTTGATCCATTTCTATCATATTGCTACATTCCCCACAGCTGCCATTCTCTCCATCCAATGGAGCATGAATTTTATGAGGACAATGAGTATCTTTCCAGCTTACCCGCTGATGCAGACAGAACAGAGGACTTTGAATATGAGGTAAGAGCATTTTCACACCACTTCACACTTCTCCATGAAGTCATGGTTGAGGGGTTTTGCATAACAAAGAAAAATTAATTTATTACTACGAGACATATTTTACTATTATTTATCTAAGCTAAGAGCTTTTAAATATTTGTTTCAGCTATTTGGTATCTAGTATTTTAAGTGTATTGGAAAACATTTTGATAATATAAACTTGAAAATAATTTGCTCACATTTTTTGTTGCTTTGTATAAATAGTATTGTGGAAGCTACATTTTTTTCTCCTTTATGTAATATAAAAGAATTTCAAGTAGAGCTTGGAAAGGAATTATATTTAAAACCAAGACTGTGTTTACTATTTTTATTCATTCTGTAGTATTTTTATTTTAATTGATAAACTAAATATTATATTATTTATATATTCCCCTTCACAAATTCAATATTCTTTTTATTTATGACTCAAGTACTTTAAAGAACATTTTCCCTGACTTTCTAGAAAGAGAGATGACCTCATGTCCTTTGTTGTTAAACCATGTTTAACCCTCATATAGTACATGTTAGAGTGTGTGTACTGTGATATGAAATAATTCCAAAAGCCCGTCTATTAATTACTTAAAAGTTTTCACAAAAGTTAAAGGATTCATCCTAATATTTCCTCTGTTTCTGCAGTCTATAAATCTTTGAAAGGTTTCAGACTACTCTGACATTTGGAAATAAAGTAGATTGAGGACATAAAGAAGCTTTGGTAAACAGGCAAAGAAGTCATGATTATCTGCCCTTTTAATGCTTTAGATGATGTCATACAAGTTCAGCAAAATGTTCTCTTCCATTTTACAACCAGGAAATCCTGAAATCTCTTCCCTTAGGAGGATCTGAAATTAAATAAGGCCAATTCAGTGAAGCTCACCTAAAGCAAATAGACATTTATTTGAAATCTCCCTCCAAAAGTCATTGCTGGGGATTACAGAAATCATTATTTCTTTTCAGCCAGAATTTGGAAGAGTGTGCAATGGTACCCAATATCTGAGTAAATGGTTTTGTCATTTTTGTTCATGTTAATTACTTATCCCCTCCTCTCCATTAATTTGATTGAAGAGTTTTATAAATCCTCTTAAGTACTGATATACACTGAAATATCCATTAAGTTTTGCTTATTTATGCAAAATAAATTACAAAGTTCAGTCACTTATCCAAATAATTCAAGATTAAACGAAGTCTTTTTTTCAGTTAATTAATTGCTTTGGGTTTGGGGAATGGAATTATCTAGATCACTTCAACTTTTTATTTAGTTTGTGCCTTAAAGCTTTATTAAAATACATCTGTGTGCTAGGGAAGGGTATGGGAGAGAGACTTGCTTACACTAAGCAGAGTCACAGTAAAAATTATTGTCATTAATTAGCATGTCATTGACTATTACAATACAGGCAGATTTTCTAGTGCTTACTCTAGCTGAACCACATCCTCTTTTCCAACCAATGTCAACTCCTAATAGCGGCCAGCATCATGTGATGACAGTGGTAAATGCTCAGATAGGTCTTCTGTAGCCTGTAATCTGAACTAATCACAGAATCCTAGTCATTACTTGTCTGTCAGCTGTAATTCTCTTGCCGAAGGCACCTCTCTGAGTTATTGAAATAAAGAATGGTCTTGTGAAATTTAAATAAGGAATAAGTTACTGTGACAGGCTTCAGTCATGGGGAAGGGTACATTTGAGAATATCTGCATGGCTAATGGGGGAGTGGAGGCACTGGGGAAGACCCAAGGATAATGCACCAACTTTAGAAGATAGTGATTCTACTAATTACATCTCAGTCTCTTACACTAACGTGGCAGAGTGTTACACACCATCCCTCTTGATTGCATCAGATGGGACTGTGAGACCTAGTAAGCCCACTGCTATCACCAGAGCTGATTGTGCTCACCACATTAGGTGGGGGGAGATTTAGAAATGCTGCCTTTACACACTATTATACTTAGAAGCAGACTGGTAAAGCGTTTCTGGGACTAGCTCAGATGACCCCAGCTCCTCCAGGAACTCTTTTATAACCCAGACGTTGAGGGGATGCAGTGAATGTCGTAGTCCTTCAAGAAGGACCAGTTTTATGCCACTCAAAGAGCATTATGGGAACCTGAGGTCTGATGGCCAAACAGAGGACTTCATCTCAGAAAGAGATACTCATTCCTCTTCAGCTAAAAAATGAAAACACATTGATAGGCAATTGGGGAATTGACTCCTTTTCATCTGCTTTTGTTCAGTTGTACCATAAATATTTAATGAGAAGTTAACAAAGATGTCAGGTTTTTATCTAGGTCTTTATTTAGGATTGATAAAGCCTTTTCTCCAGTGGAGCTTAACCTTTAGGGGACAGAGAATGGCAGAAAACAAGTGAAGATGCATTATATCATATGGTGATTAAGTCCTAGTGGAGAACATGCAGTGTGTGTAACAGAGGAAGGAAATGCCTGGTGTTGGGATGAGGTGTTGCTCTCTTATACAGGTGGTCAGGGAGGGCTGCTCTCTCTCTCTTTTTTTTTTTTCATTTATTTTTATTACTTGGAGGCTAATTATTTTACAGTATTGTAGTGGTTTTTGTCATACATTGACATGAATCAGCCATGGATTTACATGTATTCCCCATCTCGATCCCCCCTCCACCTCCCTCTCCACCCGATTCCTCTGGGTCTTCCCAGGGCACCAGGCCCGAGCACTTGTAGGGCTGCTCTCTTAAAAGACCTGAAGAGAACTAGCCATGTGGATCCTGAGAGAGCAGCCTTCAGATAGAGCAGAGGGCAAGCATGGATACGAAGGGCCCAAAGCAGGACCCCTCCGGGATGCGCCCAGGTACAGCCGAGGCCAGTGTGCCTGGGGCCCGGGCAAGGGGGACAGACAGGCAGCAGGAGGAGGCAAACTCGGAATGAGCAGGGGCGCATCTTGAGGGACCTTTGGCTTTTACGATGAGATGCGAAGTTACTGGAGGAGAGCAGAGCCAGGTTCTGCAGTACTCACAGGATCCCTCTGCTGCTAGAATGAGCTTGAAGGTGGGCAAGTAGTCTCCAGCCTAGCAGTGGGAGGAAAAAGGGGGGATGGGACCTGGCTGATGACAGAGGCCGTGGTAAGATACAGTCTGGAAGGGCAGGATTCATCCTGCCCTGAGGCTCTGCCTGTGTGTCGGTGCTCTGGGGGTCTTTCTTCTGACTTTCTAAAAGCGAAATATCATAGGCCAGAGTGAAACACAGCTTCTGGCATCCACTGAAACTAGTATAATAAATCTACTCTTAAAAGACAAAGCATACAGAACTGCATTTCTGAACTTGCTGAAAGCAAACTATGCAACTCTTAATATTTAGGCCCCTTTTTAAAAGGCCAACTTACTATCAACTCAGTGAGCCAAAGCTGATCTATCTTATGAATACATATTTAGGGACTTTTAGTGTGTGAATTTTTGACCCAATAGGCCAAAGAAGACCTGAATATCTTGTAAATACATGTTTAGGGACTCTTTAACATGCAGATTACTGCATAGAAAGATGGTAACTGCTCCCCTCAGAGCCCATGATAGACAGCAAACACTTCTTTGGAGATACTGTAGTCAGTGTCTCAATGCTATAGTGACTCTGCTGTGATAGGGACCTCTATGAAATTTTAATGACACCCATATCTCACCATGACCTATCACCACTTTGCCCAGGAAAATTATTTGACTGGGTTTTAAATTTCCCCCCAGTGCTTCAGAAAAGTCTCAGCAGACCAGTCTGTATTAAAAGACTCACAGCTTGAAATCTGATCTTTTTCAAAAACAATAGTACTGTTCTCTAATTAAAAATGATAAAGGATTTTAATTTTAACTCTGAGGGAAAAATAAAAATATAAAAATTTACACAATGCAGCCCTCATAAGAGTCAGGGTGCTGACTTCCACTGAAATAACACTGAGGATTAAGCACTCTTTTTCTGTATTTTCAACTTCGTTCATTTTTTTTCTTTCATAGAACCAGCTAAAGGTTGAAATAAATCATAAATAGCCTTTAGCAAGTCACAGGCAGATCTCACATCCAGCCTCTACCAGAAATAATTTAAAGGGAAAGGCTTTGAGAAATATAGAGCTCTTTTGTCCAAGTCCTAATAAAGATATGTTTGCTATTGCAGGAGAGCAGAGAAGGTGCTGAATTTTCTGCAGCATTTGCAACCAGCTCTCAAAATTCAATGTTGAGAGAGGAAAGTCAGAAAATTAATAAGTGCAACATTTTGAAGTATAAAATATCATGTTAGACACAAGCAGGTAATTTTAGAAACATTTCTAAGCCTGGTGATTTTCATCACTTAGAAATGCTACTTGAAATTGTTGTTATTCCTCACCCTCAAATCAAGCTGAAGAAACATATCCAGCAGCCTAAGTACTCAGAGAGTTGCCCTGTGTGTACACTGTCATCACTGTCACAGGGCAGTTAGAAATTTGCTTGGACAGGTGGTAAAGAGAGAAAGAGAAACACATGTCAGAGTTCTATATAATGTTAACTGAAAATCCAGCTTGGGCTATAAACAAGAAAGAGCATTAAGCATATTAAGTAAGTTCCTCTTAGCGATTCTTATGCAAAGCGTAAGTAAACCCTTGTGCTATGCTGAGAAGTGTCATTTTGCAAAATTTATTTCCCAGGTCTGGATCCCTGTGAGTATGTGCAGAATATTTGTGAGAATTGAAGTATATAACCTCTCTTTTACATAGTTAAAAGAGAATTCTGAATTAAGGACATGTTCATTCAAAAAAATAGCTAACAAGAGAATAAGCATTAGTGAGATTTTAATCATATCTTTTTGGGCAGATTCATGATTTGTGAGCCAGCTTTCAGAAAAATGTCCCTAGTGTGCATGTGTAAGAGCTATATGTCTCCTTTCTAGGCTGTGAGGGCAGAAGCCTTATCTGCCTGTTCATCATTGCATCATATCACCTGTCTCAAATTCGTTACTCATTATTTGACGAAGGAATATATGAGGGTTCTTATTGCTGTCTCCATGAA